GCCCCGTCAAGCCGGAGCCCCAGGACACGCCCGTCAAGCCGGAGCCCCAGGACACGCCTGTCAGCCGGCGCACCCGCAGCTCCGGTATCCGCATCGCCGACTCCACCCCCGCTTCCGGGCGCCTCGTCCTCGTCGCGCCCAAACCGGAGCCCAGTCTCCCCCCGAAGTACGAGGAGATAGACCGGCGCGGCTTCTCCGACGCGGACGCCCTGCGGTGGGCGCGCGACGACTACCTCCGGACTGAGATGACCCGACAGACCCGGGCCCTGGAGCAGATCGCCGTCCGCAAGCGTGGGCGCGAGGACGAGCACGGCGTCGTGATCCTCGACAGCGACGAGGACGCCGCCGGACCGTCCAACCCGCAGCGCCAACCGGGGGAGGGTTGCAGCAGGGACGGCGGCCACGACAGAGGCGGCCATGACGACGACGATGACGACGACGGCGGCGGCGACTACACGCGATTCTACAGCCTCCTCGGCATGTAGAACTGCAAGGACGGCGGCCGGCGAGGAGCGGCGAGGCGAGCGAGACGGCGGGCGGGCCTAGTAGTGTGTTTTTCTTTTTGTAAAATACTTTAAATATGTATGAGCGGGCGTGTTTGTGCCGTGTTTGGTTTAATTTGGTTTGAAGTCACCGAAATATGCATGAACTCGCCGTATTTGTGCCGTTCAAAAAAATCCCGTGGGCGTCACGACTGGGTGGCATCACGCCCCCAGCGCGCGTTTTGCGCCGGTGCGCCCCTAGGAGGCGCCTCCTGGGGGGCCAACGGTTGGAGATGCTCTTAGGGAAGTGTATTATTGTTTGATCTTCCGTTGCAACGCACGGGCATGTTTAATAATAATCCTAATACTAATAGCTTGGTTATTTTAAAAAAGCTTAATTATTTTTTCGAAACTAAAAAGCTTAATTATTGATATATATTTAGGCTTGTGTTGGACCCACCCAGGGTCCAATGGTCGTGTTGGGCTTGGCCTGCGCTGCAACGCTCACGCCGGACTGCCGGTGGAGAGCCCAATCCCAATATCCTAGGTCTTTTCATCAGCCCTCAAGAAAAAAAAAAAGCTTTCCGCCACCGCCTGCCGCCTGCCGCGACGGGGCCCTCTCCGCCGCCGGCAAATCCCGCGCGTCCTCACTGCTTCTTCTCGAACGGTGGCTCCGGCCGCCAGAGCAGGAATCAGGTGCGCGCTGCTTGTCCTGACTGAATAATTAGTTCGTGAGCGAGAGCTTCCTCCAAATAATTACTGGCTGGGATGTGAGGCAGAGCGTGGCAACTCGCGGTGGTAATTAACCTGCTAATCGGTAAATGCTACTGAAATTCGGTAAATGCCTAGCTGCTAATCTTGCAATTAGCTAATAGTCAAGACCTGCTAAATGCTAATACTTAAAAGTGGTACGTTTCAAGCTACTAATCTTGCAATTAACTAATGGCCAGGGCTCGTGATGCAGTTGCAATCTGACTGTACTGTTTACTGCCATCAGTATGCTTCGCCCTGTTGAATGAGACAACCTGATTGTTCTCCGTCTTATTTAGAGAGGAAATTATGAATTGACATGGTATACTTTTGGGGTGGTTCTTTCTTTTTGTGCGTAAGATACATGTTACCGTTCGATTTTAGAGCTAAATTCTGTACAACGACTTAATGTCTTCTTGACAAGAGCAAGACAATAGCCTGTAGATTCTCTGTAAAAATCTCATCGGCAAAGCCAAGCGCATGGAAAATCATTGTACTACTAAAATAGCGGAGTATAAACAATCTCAAGAATTTCCTTGCATAACTCACCATGTGAAATCTTCTCTATTTTCTGCCCCTTTGACTTTGAACATCGGCTGAGACAGGAAAATGGAACGGAGGGGGGCCAAGTGTTGCTAAGCCTTGTTGGGGAGGGCCAGTCCATCAAAATAGACTAATTTTAGCAGCAAAAATATCATTGTTTACATACATATTAGGCTTAAATCAGTGATGTTAGGGGGGAGGCCCCCA